ACCATCTGGTGAACTGTGTGCTCGTTTGTCACCCTAAAAACGTCGATTTCTTATAATTTTATGATGCAAGATTTCTAATCATCATCATCATTACAGCTCTTCACAAGTCCACTACTGAACATCCTCCGCCACAGACTGCCGCAAAGCATGGTCCTGAGCCACTTTGCTCGTCATGAGTTTTTCATTTATGTTCTAAGTTATAATTAGTACCTATTATTAAGTCAGTGTTAATTATATTTATTGCTATTGTTTTTGTCTTTCTCAAAAAATAATTAAATTACCAAATAAATTATAAGGTGTTTTAATAAATCAAATGTCTGATAGAAATGCAAGTACATATTTTGCTAAACTTTAATCAAAATCCAATTTTAAAACATAGACTAATCGATTATAACTCCTTTAACTTTAAAATAAGTTAAGTTCTTATTAATGGTATTTATTCCAGTTTATGATGCATGTAAAGAATAAATAAAGCTAATCGTATATCTATTTACAACCCCATTAATATCCACTATTATTTTATAATTCTTTTATAAAAACGTTAACCCCACACTAGGATTTTCTCCCGCATCGCGCAGGCAGTTTACAAACATAAATTGCACAAGGACACACATCCAGACCCGAAACAATTATTTGTAGGACATACAAATACTTGTTCCGTGCGGGATCAAACCCGCGGCGCCCGGCGCAGCCACTCATTGCTGAGCCACTGCGCCACGGTGCTTATAAATTCGTCCGCACATTGGCCCGAACCGAAGTAAACTGAACGACCTTCCAACTTGTGGACGCCGTCACCAACTCTCGGCCAATATATTCGCCACTACATTCGCCACTGTGTTGGTCAACGTGTAGAGGCGACATAAGGAAAAAAATCGAAATAATTCAATTAATGACCGAAAAAGCTTCGATACAAGCCCAAATATCTCCGAAATTCTACATCATTTTGACTAAAATATTGTTATATATTATTACGTTATAATGATCATCAACATTTGCTTAAACTATACTATGATTTTTCCTTTACAAATCGTTAGTATTTTTTTTTTGATTAATTAAATAAAAGTACCATATATTTCAATGCGCCGGCCATCTGAAATCATTACCGCACGAGCACTTGCCGAGGTTGGACCTGTATCAGTTGATTTCGCGCGCTGCGTCATTTCAAAACTATCGTAGTGTGCGTCGGTTGCCATCTAGCGTTATTCCAGCGCAGCTATTTGTGCGTGCTAGAGCATCATCAACTACGACCGCAGTTTTTGATCGTTGGAAGTATTTACTTTCGTACAGTATATTCCAATTAGTAGAAAGTTGTCACATTATTATTATACCAGATAGTTATCTCATAATAGTTATTTTGATTGTAGCTGAGCTTTGTTACCAGTCGGAATGGGGAAAAATAAATACAAGTATCAATGTGTCTCTAAACATAAAACAAGAAATATCCTATCTCTAGAGAAATAATAATGAAGAATAAAAATATGTCTGCATGCTTGCCATATGGACTGGCCCAGATTATGCATTAAAAGTAATTAAAATCTACAAAGACGACAAATTTTGGATTTTGAATATTTTAGCCAAGTTACAAGCGTTTTATAAAAAGTGTGTACTGCCTGAAATTATTGACTCGATATGAGTTCGGTCAATGACGTTGAGACAATTTTTTTATAATAAATAATATGGTAAATGACTGTAAGTAAGATTAAAAAAATAATTACAGTTGGTTATTTTATTTATTAAAACAGGCTGCAACCGTGCTATTTATTTATTTATACCTACCACTATGCTACCTTTAGTATATAAAATCGATTGTTAACCAACATTGCTTAACAACCGATTACTGCTGTTTAATAAGGTTCATAAATAATGAAAAATATATCAAAATAGATTATAATAAATTAATTAGATAACATAAACATGGCACACCAAAAATGTCTCATCCACTGAACTCCATCCTAAGAAAACTTGTTTAATGGAAGATCGAGATCGTTTAGTCGCTATACTCACAGTATCATAGTGCGAGTGAGTGAATACATAAGAAATAAAGTATCGCTCGCGTCGCCCACTCGGAGCGTAAAATACTTAAATTTTCGTAACGCAAAAATGTAAGAGGGCTCTTAATGTTTCTTTCTGAAATATTAAATATGATTTATATAGTTAATAAATATATCAGATATATTATCTATTATATCCTCATAGATATTTAAATAAGTATAATCTACAAATACACGGACACACAAATATGTGTGTGAATTTTATGTATTTTATCAATACTTCCTTTCTCACCCTAGCACACTGCAATACAAACCATCTCCCACTAACTTTCCGGTTGGCTGGTAGAAAATGCCATACAGTATTGTCAGGCGTTTGTACTTTTAGTCCAAAAAAAGTTAAACTAATAAATGTAATACATGATCATGTTGCTGTCATACACTGGCATTCTGTGCAAACATACTTCTTGATCACATAATAGAGATACAACGTAGCTCTACCGCAAATAAAAAAGTTATAAACAATGCGATCTATAAAAATAAAATTAGCAGTTTAATTAATTTTATAGCTCTATAAACAATATCTGTAAAATGTGCTACGTTTGTAGTGATGAGCGTGGATAAAAACATCATATCGAGAAGTTAAATAAACATTGGCAAAATCGTTTATTTATTTACTAGCTGTTCCCCGGGACTTTGTGCGCGTGGAATGTTGTACTACGATTGGATTTTATGGGTTTTAATTTTTTTAAGCGGAACTCCTTAGTTGTTATCTTAAATAAATGTAACTTAAAATACTCCTTATAACATCAGCTACTTGTCAGTGAAAGTCCCGTCAAAATCGATTTAGTTATTTCGGAGATTAGCCGGCACAAACAGATAGTCAAAAATTTTAAAAACTGTCTATATAAGTACCGTAAATACTTTCATATGAATTTGATAAAACACTTTGATAAGACACTTTAATTTCATTTAAATGTGTAGAGTATTGAATATATGTGTATTTACATAGAGTATTGAATGATAAGATCAAAGGGATGTAGTAGTAGGGATGTCCTAGCTGGCAGGACTCCTCAGCTGCGTCTGACTGGGCAGGTACCCTCCTATCTCTGTCTGCCTTCAAACAGCCCTGCTACGCCGGTCTGAAGGTAAGAGCCAATATAATTCAAAGAAATTCTTATGCATTGTTAACTACCGAATGCACTTACCTCGCGAATCGTATGAAAATCTCTTATCAAAGTATCAAATGATATCATTAAAAGACCGACGCTCTTTAATTGACGTCACCACTTTTAGGAATGTTTGTATTGGTGAGATTAAGTGTTCACAGTTATTGTCCGAGGAAATGTAGTGTAATACCACCCAAAAACACGCGATCAAAAAATTTTTTTCATATACCAAAAACCAGGACCAATATTGGTAAAAGAGCACCAGTACACAAAATGTGTGTCCTCCACAATAAAATGCTTAACGACTTAGATATGTTCTCTATTTCCCGTTCAGCCTTTAAAACCAAATTAAAATAGTATTTTAATAACAATTATAAGTTATATATATATATATATATATATATATATATATATATATATATATATATATATGTATATATATAAGGATATTTAGTATTGTATATTTTAGTTTTCAGATTATTGTTTTTTTTTATTTAAGTATAGACTCGTTACCCTGCTTGTTGTGCAGACGATACCAATTACGATCTGCTTCATAATATAGATATGTATGTTTTCAGTGAGACAGTTTGTAGAGAGCAATTGTAATTACCACAGCTTTACTTTCTATGATTTTTTTTAACATCTTTTGTTTCTGTTTTGTCTCCAATAAAGTAAATAAATAAATAAATACAAGCTGTAGGACATTCCATTTAGTTTTCAAGGTGACGACGCGTCTATTGGCTGCAGGTGTCCATGGCCTGCAGCACCTATTTATCGCCCATGGTGGACGGACTACAAGTTCAATTGCCTCTCCAGCTTAAAAAAAATCAGGAATTTATTTTTATCTATGAAACAGAGATAGATTATGCTCGCGTCAAATTCGTTATCGATTACACTTACACTGACTTACAGTTCGAGTTGACTCCAATACGTTTCTTCAAAAAATAAAAAGTTTGTACAACTGACTTAATATAATTAAAATGAGACCATCATCAATGTGAACGAAGTCAATTAAACTATATACATATATACCCACTATAACTCAAAAACTACTGATCAGATCTTAATCAAATTCATATGGGATCACATGAAAAATATCAGCTTTCAAATAAAAAACGAATCATCAAAATCGGTTCTCCTAAACAAAAGCTCTGAGGACAGAGGGCATAAGTAGACCTGAAAATATCATCGTTTGTATAGGTATACATTGAGGGTGAGGGGTGTCATTTGTTGTTGTTTTTTTTTTCAAATTTTGTACTAGAATTTATTTAGAACGTAATCGATTATACTTTCTCTACGTCCCTGTGGCATCGTAAATATTAATTGCATTTCTTGTAAAGTGTTAATGTCTTCAGATAACAAATATAATAGTGTAAACGTCTCAAGATATCTTGAGTTCAATTTAAACTCTAACAATGAACATTTTGTTTTTGTTACTTATCCCATGTAAGTTGTAGTTTTGACAAAATATATCAGTTACCATTATAGCCTATCAAAGCCCACTGCTCAACATGAGCCTTCCCATAGATTGTCTCATAAGGGTAATATCTACCACAGTTGCCACGCTTGGCAGGTGGGCAGGCAACTGCAGTTTTTTTATTTTTACTTGTTATTAGGTAAACGATGCTTCCCATCATTTGATTTATTTTCTTCTGTTGCCTTACACCGTCACTACACGGTTATATGATATGATGAGTGAGAGAACAGTGGTTTTAGGAAGCCGGTACAATTCTCGCACGGAATAAGTTTCTCGAATAGTCTACAAATATCCATTAATTGTAAAATTGTAGGTACTCTACACTATGCGGATCAGCTGGACCTATCACCGTTAGAACAAAGCATAATGAATGAGCTCTCTTGGGGAGTGAAGCTGCAGATCCTTAAAGACTATTCCCCAGAAGCAACGAACAGAAGAGTCGGCATGGAAGCTTTGGTCGACGGCAGACAACACGGATACCGTAAAAATCATGACCCAGTGCGGGAATACGAAGAGTATGCGATTAAACTCAAAGTATTCCGCATGATGCACGAATCAATCAGCGACAGTGAAGCCAAGATAAAGAGGGCGCAGCTTATCAAGAAGAATTACGAGAACAGCACGTCTTTTGAAATCGGTTACATAGTTGGTGACGCCACCGAAAAGTATGGTGAAATGTTGGATATGTCAGCAACGTTGGAAAGAGTGTACCACGAGTGGAGACCGCTGGACCACATCAACGTATACGAGCACGTCGCTAATAGGGGAATCGAGATCAATCAGCTCATCGACTTGGCGAAGTCGATCACCGAAAGCATGAACGAAACGGCTGAGTATAGACGTAGATTATTGAATTTAAGTTTGTAGATAATTAAAAAAAAATTTAATTAGTATTTGGGAGCCTTAATTAATATTTGTGTATTTTTACTAGTGGATTTAATAGGGTACTTAAGTGTGCTAGAAACATCTTATGAAATCTACAGAATAGACGTGTTTGTAATTCTAACATTTTCTGGATGAAACAAGTTTAACTAAGACTAAGTAAATGATACTGAATCTAAATCAGAGGATTTTAGAATTTTTGTGTGTCTGCCTATATTATATCTATCTGTGAATTCATAGTTCATCCAAAAACTACTGGGTGGATATTTTTTATGGGTTTTTAGTGGCAAACTACAAGCCTAAAGACTTACAATTTAAAAATAATTAATTACAATTTAATAATAATAAAATTTAAATACTGAAGGCTGTTTTTAAGAGCTTTAGAACTTTTAAGAAAGAACTATTTAGAACTTTAGTCGAAGACTAGTAGAAGACAGAAATATTGTTTGAATGAATTTTTCCCTATTACAATCTGGTAGATAATTTCAGAGCATTTGTTTTTTAAATATGATTTCCGGCATATATCCGCCGCGGCTACGAGTTACATAGTCCATTCGATCAGTCCTATTTTTCACTACTTTTCCCAATAAATCTGGCCGTATGGCGTCAATGGTGACTTGAATATTGGCTTCCATGCTTCATGCTGAGTTTCTGGTTTGTCGGCATAAACCAATGACTTAACATAACCCCATAAAAAGTATTCGAGAGGCGTTATGTCTTCGATGAATAGCTGATTAATTTTTGGAAACGAAAAATCAGTCAGCATGGCTCGATAGCGCTCGCCATTCACCGTAGCGGCAGCTCCTTCCTCATTTCGAAAGAAATAAGGACCGATGATGCGTGTAAACCACACCAAACAGTCAATTTTAATGGATGTAATGGTGATTCATTAATGGCATGAGGATTGTCTTCGCTCCATATACGACAATTTTGTTTATTCGCGAAGCCATTTAACCAGAAATGAGCTAAACACAATTCTTCGATAACAATTCTCATCTTCAGCCAGATTTAAATTAGCCCAATCAGGAAAAATGCGACATAAACGATGATCATTTGGCTTTAATTTTTGGACGAGCTAGATTTTATAGGCACGTAAGCCAAGATCCTTACGTAAGATTTTCCACGTAGTAGAAATACAAAGGCCAGCAAGTTGAGAACGGCCACGAATCGACATTTCGACGTCTTCTTCAACACTTCCCGCTACAGCAGCAACGTTCTCTTCGGTAAGCACATTTGTTTTTCTTGTTTATGGCATTGAATGGCGAAAAGAGTAAAATTAGTGCGAAAACGATTAATAACTGCACGTGTTGTATGCTCACTAGGCCGATTATGTTAACCGTAAAAAGGACGAAGTGCTCTACTAACTTCGCAAACAGATTTATTTATTTCAACGTAAATTTCCACAATTAGGAAGCGTTGTTCTGGCGTTAAACGATTCAGAATGAGTAGCCAAACCTAGTCAGTAATCTATGGCCAAAACTTACTGAACATAAATGTCAACACGGTTTGACATTCTCAACTGTCAATCCATAGACAACAACCATCGAAACTTTTTATACAGCTAAAAAAAAACAATATTAGAATTTAAATTTTATTTTGGTTATTATTTAATTAGTTATAAGGGGATAACGTAGTGTAACCTTACATAAGTGTATTCAAGAGGATACTTTTATTTCATACACTTATAGACCTGATGATCTCATGGTACCTGTGGTGAAGCCTCCATAGAAGCCGAAAAGACGGGCTTGCCCTATCAAACTGCTCAGTCAATAATATCAACTAATAAAATAACTCGTAAACTGTGTTTCATTCGAAACACACTGATTCGTGTTCTCTCCTTCTCATAGCGAACACGCAATGGACTGTCAAAATTAATGAACATTATGGATGGACCCCGATCGCTGCAAAACTGCGCTACTGCTGTCATACAAAAGGAGTTAAGTTGAGCGATTAGTCGCATCTCGCGCACGCATGAACTTTTTACCCGGCTTTCGGGAAGACGATCGCTCCCGTTCTAATTGTGGCAAAATGTTCTATAATGAAATATAACTACGATTGTCTATATAGCAATTAGTCTATATAGTGGGCGAAACGTTTGCAAATTCACTTCACATTTCAATGTTTACTCTATGTGTTTGTATGAGCGAATGAATATTGCGAGTTGAAAATTTATGCTTTTTTAAAGACTTTTATTGAAAATGAAGGATAATAGTGTTCCTTGTTATGAATTGAAGTGTGTTAAAGTGCTATTCGGCGAGGAAAAGGTAAAATCTCTAAACTTTGTTGAGAAAAAACAGCTCATATCCTCACTCAATTATCGCAATTGAAAAATAGTTACTGGTACAATTAAAACGTTCACCAACATTTTACGAAGACGTATTCAAGTCTTTCCTTAAAAAAGAAACGATTCGATTTAGAATATAAATAATATGTTTTTTTTAGATTCATGTGTTGTATTGTATGTAAATATGTTTTTCTTTCGCTCAAGCAAACCCAAACGGCTTTTTTCAAAGCCACCGAAGGTATGCAATTGCTGAAATGTCATACAATCTATCTAGCAGTAGTATGCCTTCTGTGTGCTTTGTTAAACACGTCCTTGACAGCACTGAATATGAAACTGAAGCGTGGAGACAGATCAAGATTGGTGTATTTTTATAAAACTGCTAAAAACAACAAAACCATATCTTGGGCTTGCCCTAGTTTGGAGCCCTAGCTTCACCACTGCATGGTACCCATTTGATAGCAGTATCAGTATCTAATGCCACATGTTACATTCACATGTATGAAGCCCAGATCAGCGATAGGTAGAAAAGAGTTTCTACAGCAAATGGCAAATACGATGTATTGAAATGAATATTAGTGTACGAACATGACATTCAAACTTAATGTTGACGCTGCAATTTGCTTTCTCTTTTCTTTCGTTGCAAATACTCTAACATTATAAACGATGCCTATAAACATTCATGTATAGCCCCGCAGCTGACGACAAAATTCGGCAAGAGTTTTTTAATGGGCCATAATTCACCTGTCGGCGGTGCGCTTCGATGTCTGGAAAATTACAACATGCTCTTCAAGTGTTCTTTAATAATTGGAAATCGGCACTAAACTAGTTTATAGTACAAAAAGAGGTAGGAAAGTGGTCAGACCGCATGAAAGCGACGAGAAAGCTCGCCACATAAGTTGTCGCCATATCGATGTCGGTGCAAGAGTTTTGCAATGGCTGAAAATTAATTTACCTGCATAATCTTAATATATATAAATTACGTGTCACGTTGTTTATCCGCGATGGACTACTAAACTACTTAACGATTGTATCTTATGCAACGGTGTTTGGATTTGAGAGATGGGATAGTTTTTTTGCCCATGAGTGACCCACAATTTCTTTTTTTTTTGCGAATTTAAGGATTTTTAAAAGGACATGACAAAGGGTCGTCGAAAAGTGCAGAACCACGTCTGCCTGGCAAACTATTATTATATATAAATTAAGAAAAAAATTGCCAGACCACAGATTATTGGAAAAGAGGTAGCAGTCACTCAAAGTGTGGATATACAGAGCGCGCGGCTGTTCGTAGCGCGTAGAGATATATCAATTTCCTTTTATATTAAAGTACAAAATTGTAATAGAAAAGAATATACTGACACATATCTGTACCGTTATATATATAGTCGGAAATAAAACCACTATGCTCAGTGTGTATAAACAATATATTTATTATATTATTATATCAATTACTTAACGTAATAATTATTTCTTATATTTACAAGAATACAACATAATAAATAAAACTTATTATACGGATTTTATCGTATTGAATTGCTTTTTTATCGTATTTATTAAAAATAAATAAAAATTAGTCTCTTTATTGTATAAGGGCGACAAACAAACCCACAGTCCACCCGATGGTAAGTGGATACTGTGGCCCAAAGAATCCTTCTCCTATCTTTGATTACAAACCTATGTGTAAATACTTGTCATCCCTGAGGACTACGATGGAATGCCATGAACCAGTAAAAAGGGTCTCCGGTTTTCTGCGTTCACCATACGAAACACAGCAGCATTAAGCTGGTATTTAACTGTGTGGTCCCTCCCCGATCGAGCCGACCCATTCGTACTGCAACTGCAGCGCGATTCTACCACATAAAAAGTACCAGTCAAATTTAAATCGATGAAACCCTTAAAATTAGTTTTGTTCGATGACTAAGCTAGTCTTAAAACGTCGGACTATTCTCCTGGCCACACCAAGTTCTCTATCCAATCTAGATAGCTGGAGACTCTGGTGTAAATGGCAGGTTGGCCAATCTGGGCGCATTTTCCGCCGAATGACGTTACACCGATGACGTAGAAGAGGCACTGGTTGTCTTCGGATACCACTTGAAGGGGAGAACCGGAGTCACCCTAGAACGAGATAGCTAAATGTAAAAATTATGTTCTACGTCACTATCTATACGTATATAGAAATAGAAATAATATTAAAGTGTCAGTCAGTAATATTTTTTTTTATTTTATAGGAGAGGGGTCAAACGAGCATACGGCTCATCTGATCTAGGTGATTACCATCGCCCAAGAACAGCTGCAAGACCAGGGGGATTGCAGATGCGTTGTCGGCCTTTTGAAAAGGAAAAGGCTCTTTTCTTGAAGGCCCCTAAGTCGTATCGGTCCGGAAAATTTTCTGGTGGTAATAATGATAAAACTACCCTATATTGAACTGAAGAGGTTGCTTGCATGCAAGAATAACCATTTCTTAAATATTCTATGTGTTAGTCAGTCCGTGATAATCTACGGGAAGGCTGTCCCGATTGTACCGACACTTCATGGCACAGAGCAGTCCGGGAGTGGTATAGCTAATATTTTATCTAAAAAACTTGGAGATACTTGTTTTTGAAGCAAAAAAGGGCGGCTCTATTCTTGCGTGGCTCTATCACATTTTTGTATGCCCTTCTGTCAATCTGTGAAATGGCGGAATTAAGAGAGGAATGCTAGTTCTGTTCTACAATATATAATATCCGAATGACTTGACGATAAAAAAACGAAAAATTGATAAAATTTATTTATAGAACCTATCCAGGCCAAGCTGCGGCGGGTTGCTATTATTTAATAAAGTTCATTCCCATTACCCATTCGTCATGTAATTAATACAGCTGCAGTATTATTTTATCACGTAATGTATATGATCATACCACTGGGTGCCTCTTAATTTCATACTCTGTTAAAAATAGTGGTGGGTCGTTATCGAATTTTCGACTAACGAAACGCAACCGTTTTCCCAACGCGAAAACAGTTACAGAAAACGTTCGCCGTTGCAACTGGTTTGAAGACGGCTTAAAGGACGAAACTTATCAACATGGAAAAGAATTGCGTTTTCGTCGAGTGAAATGATTGCAGCTTGTTACAACTTTCAACGATTTAAAATGTATGAAATGGTTTACTAAATACTTCGCTTTATCGATCGACTTTACTTAACGATGAAATGAACTTCCCTTCATACTTTTCCAGGTTTAGGACTGGCTGGGACATTCTATGCATCCATTAACATACAATAGCGACTGTATTTCATTGACAAAAAGTACACTTTTTATTGTAAGGACTGTTTAGTTTCCGTCTACGTTTGTAAACGAACGTGGAACTAAAGACTAGACTACAATAAACACGAAACGTTACGGACGACGACGCGACGAGTGAGATAGATAGTTGAATCATTGCGTTCACGACTGTATTTTCATAAGCGTAAAATAAAAAATTATACCAAGTAATTCGAAGACTGGTTTATCCATTGAAGACGGAACTCAAGACGTATAACGGTTTTATTGTCGCAGAACACAAAACAATCTTTGTAAACGGTTCGTCGTTACAAGACCCACCCCTGGTTAAAAATAAACATACCTGACAGGTATCCTTCCCTCCACGCAACTCCCCAGCACACATCTGTGAGGGTGCGAAGCCATGCCAGTGTCTGTTCCTTCTCAAGATGCGATCACAGTATTCATTGGTAAGCAGAGAAAGCGACACCTTCTGTAGCTCTTTCGAAGTTTGCTGAGTATCTAGAAAGATTAAACAAGTTTAATGAGATCAGATTTCATCGCGTGAGACGTTAATTTGTTAGAAAAGTGTAGATATTAATGTTTCTGTCTGTAATATTAGGTACTTATAATTTATATTGATTAGATTAGAAATGTATTAAACCAATGTAAGGATATTCACAAAGGTAAAATAAATTAAGAGAAGGTAAAATGTGTAAAACATTAAAGAACACACCACTGTAGCATTGTTTATTTTATAGAATAACGGTGACAAACGGGCACACAGTTTACTTGATGATAAGTGAATGCTGTGGCCCATAGACATATACATTTATCCTCGATTAAGAATCAAAATGCAGATGCGTTGTCACTCCCGAGGTGGATATAATATATTAGTCTCAATTATAAAGTTACATTTTTTTTTTCAAATAATCCTTACCAGTTCTTATTTATTCTGATTTTCTGACAGAGGGTCGTAATTTCCAAAATATCCGGAAAATTCCTACCATCTGGTAACCGGAAGGACATGGGGCAATGTTACAACCTATATACGTCCCACTGCTGGGCCCAGGCCTCACCTCATTTCTGAGAGGGTTTTAGGGCAAGGAAGTTCACATGTCTTCGATTTTTTTCTTATTTCTCAGACATGGAGGTTTCCTCACGATGTTTTTCTTCATCGCTAGCAAGTGGTAAATCAGCACTTGAAATCGCAAATAAATTCTATCAAATTTGGGTTGCTCGCGTACTGTGAAATTTACACCGAGCGCTAAGCACCTGAGCTATCACAGCTTTCATAAATGTAACTAAATACAACCTCAAACACATTAAATACTCGACCTAACATCACAGACGCTACAGCCTATCATAAGTGCAATAATGCACATTAGGTCTCCCCCATAACTTACCTCATGGAAGGGATACTTGCTAAAGTTACCCCGCTTGACATGCGGGAAAACAATAGCAGTTTTTTTTAAGTTATTTTAGTTATTAGTATATTATAGGAAGACGCTGATGCCAATCTTTTCGTTTGTTTCCCATTGTCGCCTCTTACGAAACCCACGAGATGATGATATGGGACAGTGGATATTCTTACATCGCCACTTATTTTACAGTTTCACCACATTAAAGTTTAAATCTATAGAAGAAGTTTTTCCTACCGGGATCAACGACACCCCAACCGGTCGCGTAGGCCTTCCTGTGCTCACCGAAGTTCTCCTTCGTCCACAAGCATGCAGGTCGTATATTATCATTGAATTGGACGTCTTCCGCCAACTCCAGGAGTGCGATATCGTTATAACGGTTCGGTGGCTTGTAGTCCGGGTGCTTGTGTATCGCTTTAATTCGTACCTGTGAAAGTTTTAGGTTATTTATACCTGATGATGAGTGATTAAGAGCATCAAGCGTTGGTTAGAGAATCTATCGGCCTACTTCATTCCGTAGGTAATTTTCTCCAAGTAAATTTTATTTACAGCGACCAGTTTCGACGGAGACTAGTGATCTGAGAAGGACAGTATTATAGTAGTGTTTGCACAAGCACGTTAGTCTCATGGAACGGCAATCCAACGCGAAAACCAAATCCAACCAACGGCTTTCCATGCTTTCAAGGACACTTACTGATTGCACTTCTTGATTAACTTTTTAATTAAACATGCATAACTGAAATTTCTTAACAGGAAAACCCCACACTGATTTTTATGTTCGAACCCAAGACCACTTGATCAACCGCTGGGTTTACGATCACTAGACCAACGAGGCAGTCATTGTGAGGGTAGTAAAAAGGCGACAATGTAAAACAGCCCAAAAAATCTAATGACTTTCAAGGGATGGCGGTGAACCATCCCGTTTACACCCGGTGTAAAATACCCAGATCGGTTGCGAACAGCAGTGGCCAATGTACGAGGCGTCTGTGCTGCAAACACCACTCTGCTTGCCAAACATTACAATTATAGCAAATCTTTCCTTAAGGTGAGGATTTCTTGTGTTGATTATGTATTTTTTTAATGTCAAGTATCAAGAATTTGATCGAGTAAAAATGTAGCTGATTAAGAATCTAATTCAATAGCATGCCTTTTATATTATCGGAAAATATTATATCGCTTAACAAAATTAGAACTCGAACTACGATGGTTTTTCCTGGCAGTAAAATTATGTATTTTTTTTAAATCTAGATTAATATAAAGTATTTTAAACGTCCAAGTATCAAGAATTTGATTGAGTATTTCATGTTTTGCGCCTATTGTTTTCCGAGCGTTTATACCATTTCAAGTTGTATCAATTCTCCAGCATCAAAATCGTGTTCAAAATACGATATTTTGTCCAACCTCATGAAGAGACTTTTATAAGCTGATGATGAAGAAGAAGATGGATAGCAACATCTTAAAAAGAGGCTCAATTTTAAGACGCCGTTGCGTCCCATGCTGTCTCTATCACTTTAAGTAAAAGTGACTGAGACACCACGAGACTTAACCAATTTGGCCTTTAGACCTTAATTTTATCACTATCACCTTCACTACAGCCAAAAAGCTTACAGCTGAACATAGATCTCCCTCGGATAGCCACAAAGTATGCTCCTGAGTCACCTGCATCCATCGAATACCAGCATGTTTCACCAGATCGTCATTCCATTTGCCCACTGCGATTGCCAGTGGGTTGCAGTCACTCGAGAAGTTTTCTTCCCCTACTGTTTTTGGTTCTTCGATCCATATGGCTGGGCCCTTTGCCACTTCAGCTTGTTGATACGCTGGACTATATCAGTTGATCTTGTTATTCTGCGGACGTACTCTTTACGAATTTTAACCTACGGAGAAAATCTGAGCATAACCCATCGCACGCTGAGTTAATGTGAGTTTTTTCACACGGAGCGCAGTGAACGACCACGTTCCGCTTCTGTACCTCATAGATTATCCATCCATCCACTATGGCGCCATAATACAACACATACAACACATACAAACATACAAACATCTTAGTTCTATAAACTATAAAATTCAATTTACTACGGAGTTAGAAGCAAACAATTCCTTAGCCTTTCTAGATGTATATAGGAAATGTGTATATAGGAAAAAGACCCATACAAACCGATATTTAAGTGGTGAATCTCACCATCATCCTTCACAGTAAGTACCGTGGGTAAATCTTTGTTACAGACAGCAAGAGGGATCAAGGGAGCTTAAGCAGCTTTTGCAAAATAAACTTCGGGTCCAGCGCCTACATCACAATGATCTAGTGAAGCCGGCCATATTCAAGCATCTGCTGTACTATACCACACCATATGTCAGAGATGGCACAGACAAGATTGGCTACATCTTGATGCGAGTCTCGATTAGAACATTCTACAAGCCACCGAAGAAGATTAGTCAGTTCTTACCATCCGTCAAGTATAATATCCCTCTACAACTTTATACGTGGTAGAGCCATGCTGCAGTTATATTAGATGTATAGTTGTAGCACGAGTGGGTCGGCTCGACCGGGGAAGGACCACGCTCTCAGAATACCAGCGTGAAATAGTAGCTTAATGCTGCTGTATTTCGTATGGTGAGTGTAGAGAACCGGCGACCCATTTTACTGGAAACGAGGCATTCCATCTTAGTCCTCACGGGTGGCAACACATCTGCATTTTGATTCGTAATCGAGGATAGATGTAGATGTCTATGGGCCACAGCAACCACTTACCATCAGGTGGACTGTGTGCTCGATTGTCACCCTATCCTATAAAAAAAAGCAACTCTAAATGTTAAAGTTACAGCCTATATATGTCCCACTGCTGAGCGAAGGCCTACCCTCATTTCTAAGAAGGTATGAGGGCAAGGAAGTGCCCCCCGCGCTACCCAAATGTGTGTCGGCGAATTTCCCATGTCTTCGAAATATTTTTTTATTTTACTTCACCGCCGAGCACGTGGTAAATCAGCATATCAAAATTGTAATTAACAATTTCATTGGTGCCGGCGGGGATCATCGAACCCTGAAATTTCCACCGAATGCTGAGCCCGTGAGCTACTATGGCTTAACCAATTGTAACTATTTAAATATATTCACTTACATCGATCGGAGTCGCTCCATCCCTCACATTTGGATCTAAGTTCTGTTCGCCGAGACGTACGATGGTCGGCTCCCCGAACCTGGGCTTCTTGGTACAATGGCCGGCTGTCATCACGAACCTCTCGCTGATGAGGCTGCCACCGCAGCTGAACGCGTAGTCGTCATCGTACTCTAGCCAGCCTATGGCCGCCTGGTAATAAGAAATAATTTATGCAGCTTTAATAAAATGCATACTATTATATATGTAACTAGTGATCCGACCCGACTTCGCACGGGAGACGGAGGATCTCGACAACTGTGCCATCTGTCCGGTACAAATCTAAATCTAAACCATCTAGGGACCCATTCAAACACACACACAAATTTTTTTTTATTTTTGGAGTGAAAACTTCTTTAGCGGCGTTGTATACTTTTTTTAATGGGTAAAAAATGTTAAACTCGCGTCAGGACACGTGACCCTGGTCAAAAATTCGTAAGACGGCGTAGGAGAGGAAGTATCCCCCTCTCTTTCTACGGCGCGGCGAAAATGTATGCTTGAGCCTGATGTTTCGTTTAGGCGGCGCAGGGCGCTTGCGCGAATGTTCGTGTGTGATAATTAAAGCAAATCGTGCAAAATTATTCCCTAATCATTCCAAAATATCAAAAATGTTCAAGTTTTCACTTCTGCCGGCACTCCCGGAGTGCAAACCATCGTTTTTTTTTATTATTCACTATAGCTCGAACTATAATTAATAATGTTTTTACTTTCATTATAACAATCTCCTTCGTGAATGGAATTTCGTAAAGGTCGTTTTCAGTTAATTGAATTCAACTGAAAACACACTTTACGAAATTGATGACAAAAATAACATGTTCGCCAAATTTCAAACTTGGCGAACGGAGAAGATATAGATTAATTTTTTTTTTTCCCCGCCCTTTGGGGTATCGTTTGCCCCTTTTTCGGAATCCTTTTAACCTGGCCCTATGATTTCAGATATATATATACGTTATTTCTTTTATCCGCACAGAGAATACTATAATGCATACATAATAGAACGGGGGAGTGGGCGGAGCCCGTGTAGCCACTAAGAATGCCACAAGACGTCAATTCATACGTATAACTGTCAACACGAGATGTGTTTTGACGTTACAATCGTTTCCAAATTTCGCATGCAAATTATAGGTGGCGCTGAGGTCGAGATCCAAAAAACAAAGTACAAAGCCGGGCGGTTCATTAATATAGAATAGAATAAAATAAAAAAATTTTTATTTAATTAAGATTATAAACAATATTCTTTGAAAGTAATTATTCCTATGTTAAAATTGCCACTGGTTCGGAAAACACCTCTGTCCTGGAAAGAACCAGCTAGAAACCTAGCACGGGACATACTTTTTGAAAAAATAACTGTTTACAAGCATGTTACGCAATTATCTACACAAAACAAATTAGAAATAGAAGCTTGATAGCGTCAACCACATTAATATATTAGCCTTTTTTTTATAAAATCTTTGTTTAATAAGTTTTTGAACGTGGCGGTGAAGAAATTTTCTGTTTTATTTTAAAAGCATATACATTGTACCAAAAATAAATTAATGACAATGGAGTCGAGTAATCCCATCTCTGGGCTGGGACTCCCCAGTGCCAGCTCCTTCCATTTGATCTCATCCAGCGTAGAGCTGTTCGAATCGTCGGCGACCGAGCTCTTTCCGATCGGCTTCACTCACTGGCACTGCAAAGAGATGTTGCATCTCTTTGCGCATTTTATCACATCTACCACGGGGAGTGCTCTGAGGAATTGTTCGGACTAATTTCAGCCGCACAATTTCACCATCGCACATCGCAACAAAACTCGCGATACCGTCCATACCATCTGGATGACTGGCGGTCCACCACCGTGCGATTTAAAAGAAGTTTTCTTCCTCGCACAACTTCCTTGTCGAATCAACTACCACCAGAGATTTTTCCGGACCGATACGTTTTAGGGACCTTTAAAAAAAGAGCCTACTCCTTTCTAACAGGCCGGCAACGCATCTGCAATTCCCCTGGTGTTGCAGTTGCTCATGGGCGGCGGTAATCACGATCAGGTGAGCCGTATACTCATTTGCTCCCTCTCCTATAAAAAAAAGTACATTAAATTTTCGTAAATGGGCTAAAGTTAATATATTAATATAATTAATATATTGTCAACAGCCTAAAGAGTTGATTCCTAGATTGATTTTATGACCCTTTTCCGCAAAACAAATATAATTTCAGTGTCAGTCGCGTGTCTCCATTGCAAAATACCATACAAGTACGATTAATAGACTATCAAGTACGTTTAAGTTCAACCTAAGTTCAACAATACACCTGCTGGTAAGTATTTAATTAAGCCCATGGACACCTTCTAATGAACAAGACCATAGAAGCGTTCCGTCTCCTGAGTACTATACAGAATGGGTCCCACATATATGCAATAAATGAAACCACAAGTAATACTAGTCCGTAGAAGTGTAGAAAATTTAAATATTAAATTAAAACCCGTAAAATAAAAAAGTGAAATTTTCAAACAAAATAAATATTAAAATAAATTCAGTAAAAGTGAACACTCTGTTTATACAACGTACCTTGACCCCTTGGAAGAGTGACAACGTTGCACGCGGGTGGCACGCCGACAAAAGACACCGCTGTCGATATGTCGCAATACCAATAGTTTCACTGCGTGGCAACGTCGCTTTTTAATGTTCAAGGATTCAAGTTCATTGAATCATTGACTTAGTGACCCAATTCTATAGAGTGTTCAAATTTGCTTAAAATTAAAACTCTACTTTTTGACCTAATTACTGGACCGTGGACGTTCATTTTTTGTATATCGTCAGCAAAGGCGATAACAAGTATATGGTTTCATTTATTGACATATGTGGGACCCATTCTGTTATGAATTCACTGTATTTAACTATACTGGTTCGTTTCTCTCCACCATGACCGTGTAGTTACCGTGTTAGAATATCCACTACCCCATATCGTCCCGTGGATGTCGTAGGAGGCGACAGAGAAAAACAACCAGGAGACGGGCAGCAGCGTCCAGTTCCCAACCCGCCTACCAAACATGGCAACTGTGGCAAGATAAGGCAATCTAGGGGGAAGTCTATGTTCAACAGTGTATAATGGCACTGAAACACTGTACAATGAATACTGATAGGCTGTATCGGTAACAATAACAGTTTTTCTTTAGACTGCAGTGGTTGGAAGCTGGGCCAAAATAAGTAAGAGGATGTCACCAGTCCTATTGGACTCCTATGCAGAAAAGGTTGCCCTACATTCTAGTAGTTTCACCATATAGACAGCAAAGATCTGGGACAATTTGCAGTCATCATTCCTTCCATCCGAACGATGTAGATTCCTTCAGAGAAGAACGAGTACGGTAACGCTTTAAAACGTTTACTACGCACTACATTAGATGAGACTGCATCACATATACTATAATTTATAAAGATAATCTGTGTCTCCGTAGGGAAAAGCAGTTTTTTATTAATTAAAAAGGTGACAAACAACAACAAGTGAGGATATCTACAGTTGAACCAGAGTAACCAACATGATTAATCGCTTAATAATTAGTAAGCTGAAGTGGCGATGGCGCCACTTCAGCTTACTAATTATTAAGCGATTATTTGAGCAATTGGAATGGCCAAATAGCTCGAATAACTGACAACCGATTAAAAAGAAAGGTTCTCGAGTGGCAGCCTCGTACCGGTAATCTTTCACGGGAGTGACAAGCTGGTAAGATATGCAGGAAGTCGATGGGTGTAGGTGGCTCCAGACAGTGCTTTGTGAACTTGTAAATGGCTGTAATGAAACAAGCACACTGTCCACTCGATGGTCAGAGGATGATGTTGACTTGATGTTCATTGTAAATGATAAATATATAAATGCATAAACCTCTTAGTGAAGAGCGTTTCATCTTTACTCGCCATACGAGATACCACACCGTTATACTGCTATAACGCGCTGGTATTTTGTCTGACGTTAAAATTTCACTTCACAGCCTTAAAATTGATATAGATATCGTACCTAATTTTAAGACAAATAAAATTGGCTAAAGGTCCTCAAAGGTACCATAGCCAGCGTACAATCGAATGATGATTCAAATTGGAATTACCAGAACGGAAGTGTTCAGCTCTCCACCACTAGACGGATCTCGTAATCGCGAGCGACGAGAACGCACAAAGTAGTACATATGGCGAACTCACTGTCATAGGGCATTCTCTCCCAATCAACCATTAGGCTGATAAGACATAGACATATAGGAGGCGGTGCTGCAATTGTAAAAATAGAAGGATATATATATATATATATATATATATAAACAAATATGAAATTTATATGAATATAAGGCGGCGACTTTAACGCCCATCACGACGAATGGCTTGGTTCACGTTGAACCGATCATGCGGGGAGATCTGTTCATGATTTTGCCTTGGCATATAGTCTGACACAACTAGTTACTTCGCCTACGCGGATTCCAGATGTGGAGGATCATGCGCCTTCCCTGTTGGACCTTCTGCTGACCTTTCACCCGGACGGATATCAGATTTCCGTCGAAGCCCCTTTAGGCTCTTCGGACCATTGTCTTGTCCGGAGTGTGGTGCCACTCACGCTGAAATCGCAGTTGCATTCTCCAAGCTGCAGCCGTGTTTGGCACTATAGGTCAGCCGATTGGGATGGGATGCGGTCTTTCTTTGCATCCTACCCTTGGGGGCGGGTTTGCTTCTCGCCGGACGATCCCAACGTTGTTGCGGATTCTGTCGCTGATGTGGTACTTCAGAGTATGGAACTTTTCATTCCTTCCTCTGTGGTGCGCATTGGAGGCAAATCTCAGCCATGGTTTGGTCGCTCCTGTAAAATAGCATGCTATAAGCAGGAGTGCTACCGAGCCTGGGCTGACGCATCAGCGTCCCGGGATGTAAACACCAGCGCAATAAAAAAAGAAGTATAATTTCGCCTCTAGGTCCTTCAAAAGAGTCATTACCAAGGTAAAGTCAGAGCACATAGGCAGAATTGGCGAGAAACTAGTTCGCCTTCCTTCTGGAACCCGTGCATTCTGGTCTCTCGCCAAGGCTGTCCAGTGGAATTTCTGTCACCCATCTCTTCCATCTCTGCACAGGGAGGACGACTCACTGGCCCATACCGCAAAGGAGAAAGCCGATCTTCTAGGCTCTTTTTTTGCGTCCAAC